AAGAGTTAAAGTTGTTTAAATAGGTTAAATTAATTAATGTGGTTTAGTTGGTGGATTTAGTGTTGTATTAAGTCAAAACTAAACTAGTTCAAGAGTTAAAGTTGTTTAAATAGGTTAAATTAATTAATGTGGTTTAGTTGGTGGATTTAGTTGTTGTATTAAGTCGAAACTAAACTAGTTAAAGTTGTGAAGTTGTTTAAATAAGTTGAAATAAATAATGTGGTTAAGTCAATACTAAACTAGTTTTAGGACTACTACTAGTTTGAATTTGGGATTTTAAGTAATTATTATAAATTATATTAACTATGAATTAATGTGGTAAAATTATTATTAAATTTTATTTATAATATAATTGAATATCTATATTTTTGTAGATGGATCATCGTTTGTGGATGTATAATATGCATTATGAAACTGGTGCTGGTTTGAAACCTGAGTTTATTGACGGTGTTAGAAATTTTATTGAACATACAGTGACACTTGACATTTTCAAGAATAATGGATTGGTTAGGTGTCCTTGTAGTGCATGTAAGTGCTTAAATTTTTTTAAACCAGATAGAGTTATGGTTCATTTGTACCGAAATGAATTTAAGCCTAGATATTTTGTATGAATTGATCATGGAGAAAGTGATGGATTGGATGGTATGTTTTATAATTCGATGCATGTGGATGTATATAATATGGTTGCACCACATGGCCAAATTAGGGTTGAATAGGTTAGGGTTGAACATGATAGGGCTCATGAAATGATCAATGATGCTTTCGAAGTTCAAGGTGGGATGGAACCAGGACAATATTTTGATGAAACTCCTAATGAAGAAGCAAGATGCTTTTATGATCAATTAGAAGAGTCTAGTCGTCCACTATGTGAAGGGAGTCCACATTTTGCCTTGTCAGTTGCGGTTAGATTAATAAATATTAAATTAGATTGGAATGTTCCTAATGCGGCTATGGACTCAATGGTTGATCTTTTGAGTGAACTAGTTAATCTGGAGTTTAACATACCAAAGAACTTCTATCAGGTAAAGCGTTTGGTGTCGAAGTTAGGATTGACGTATGATAAAATTCATTGTTGTGTTAATGGTTGCATGTTATTTTACAAGACTGATAGTGAATTAGAAAATTGTAAGTTTTGTGGACATGCTCGTTATAAGAGGACTATGGCTGGAAAGATGGTCTCAGTTCAGGCGATGCATTATCTACCTCTCATTCCTAGGTTAAAAAGGTTGTATGCATCGATGAGGTCTGTCCCACATACGAGATTGCATCGTGAATATAGAAGGCCACTGGGTGTCTTGTCTCATCCATCTGATGGTGAAGCATGGAAGCATTTTGATAATGTATATCCTGATTTTGCTAGTGAACCAAGAAATGTTAGATCGGGGTTTTGTTCAGATGACTTCACACCATTCTCTAATAATGCTTCGCCTTATTCATGCTAGCCAATATTTCTTACTCCGTATAATCTTTCTCCTGAAATGTGCATGACCAGTCCCTACATCTCTCTAAGTTGTGTTATTCCAGGTCCCCGTAATCCAAACAGTTTGATTGATGTCTATCTACAATCATTGATAGATGAGCTCAAACAATTGTGGTTTGAAGGCGTTTTGACTTATGATATATCAACTAAGCAGAATTTCATTATGTGTGCTTTTTTAATGTGGACTATTAATGATTTTCCTGCATACGAGATGTTGTCTGGTTGGATGACAG